GTAGTAGTAGTAGTAGTAGTAGTAGTAGTAGTAGTAGTAGTAGTAGTAGTAGTTGCAGGAGTAGTTGCAGGAGTAGAGTCTTTATTTCAAGTGGGGAAATATATAAGCTACATTAATATGCATAGGTTAATTATATGTACATGTATTATTATATGTAAACTATAACACTAAGCTTTGCTTTATATTTTGATCTACAGTATCTACCTAATGATTGTTTATTTGATGAGAAAATGCTTGATATTTGTTCGAGAAGCATACTAGTAACCCAAAGCAATGAATTCAAAGGGCCAGCCTATATGGGAAGAAAAATCAACACAACAAAAACACCTCACAAATGTTTCGCGGTTTTTATTTAATAAGATGGCTGGTTCAGGCGTTCTATTCTGGCAACATTTCAGTCCTTATAAACTTTATAAGTCGCCATCTTACATTTTCCACTTCGCCATCAAAGCTTGAGTCAGAGTGCGAAGTGAGAACTTTTTGTGGTAAACATGTCTCGTTACTCCAGACCTCCAAATTCGTCGCTGTACATAAGGAATGTTCCAGATGGCACACGGTGAGTAAGCATTAACAGGTGAATGTTTTCCTTACTGCACGCAGATTCTGTGTAAAAGTCTACTGTAGGCAAGATTTAGAAATTAGGAGGCCTTTTGACTTTTGATTCCCAGAGAGAATCTAACCGTCCTAACAAGACGAAAGCCAAAGCTTTTGGATCTTCCCAATCACTTTGTCTACTAATCTAGATTTAGACCTACTAGAATCTAGACCCTACTTGAGTCGTGAGATAAAAGCCAGACTAGAGATCTAAATAATAGTTTGAATCAGGTTGCAAACTGCATGCATGAATATGAACCCAAATAATGGCCTGAACTGAGGCTGAGGGCTAGCCAAATAGACATACGGATATGGCGGATTTCACAGTAAGAGTGTGAGAGACAACACATGGTTTATTTTTAAAATAAAATTCTCCTGTTGGACTGTATTGTGTTGTTTTGATTGTTTATGGGCCCAATAAACATGTGAATAAAAAGCAAGGGGAAGATTGAAGAATAGCGGACCATTCGTACATTATTGAGAAGGGCTTCCGTAACGAGTGACCACCCCATCAAACACAATCAATAAAGTAAAGAAGAGGCCTAGACCTAACCCTAACCCTACCCCTACCCCTACCCCTAACCTTACCCCTACCCCAAGCCCTCAATTCTGCTCTGTCTCATAGTGGTCGCTCGTTACGGAAGTGCTCCCCATTATTGCGCGAGAATGTGGGGTAGGTGGGGCGGGTGGTTGTGGGGCGCTTTTTCGGTAGTTCCCACCCCGCAATTTTATTCACGGGTTTGGGCCACAAGCGTAGGGCGGTTTCAGGGGGGCTTGCTACGAGATGCTACGGCTATTTAACTTTTCGGTATTTTTTTACTTTCCCTCCCGTCTCACACTCAGCTACCAGTTGTCTATTTTCTTCTAAATATTGATGCGCTGAACACGAATATCAACTTCATTTCCGTCGCAAATTAATGGTTTTTGAAATATTTGATTGTTTTTAACCGAGATAGACATGCTTTGGACCAATCGGGGGTTCCAGGGGGGCCTGCCCCACTGGGGTAAAAGAAAATCTGGGGGGTTACAGGGGGGCATACACTGTTACGCAAAATATCAAACTAAATAAAGTTAGCACTCGTTTTTTATTCACACAAATTGAACACAAAACTATACAACAGGAGAATTTTATT